AAATTTAATCAGTAATAAATAACCTGCCAACCAAGAAAAAGCCCAGGACCAGATGGATTCACAGCCAAATTCTACTAGATATGCAAAGAAGATCTGGTATCATTTCTATTAAAACTATTCTAAAAAATTTTAGATGAGGGACTCCTCCCCATCTTGTTCTATGAAGCTAGTACCATACTGATACTAAAACCTGGATGAGGCACAAGAGCAATAAAATATAAAACTTCAGGCCAATATTCTTGATAAACATTGATGCAAAAATCTGCAAGAAAATATTGGCAAACAGAATTCATCAGGACATCCAAAAGCTAATCCACCATGATCATGTAGTCTTCATCCCTGGATGCAAGATTGGTTCAACATCTGCAAATCAATAAAAGTGATTCATCACATAGACAGAATAATGTTGAAAATCACATGATTATTTCCATAGATGCAGAAAAGTATTTTGAAAAAATTCAACATGTTTTCATGTTAGAAACTCTTAACAAACTAGGTATTGAAGGAACACACTTAAAATAATGAGAACCATCTATGACAAACCCACAGCCAACATCATACTGAATGAGGAAAAGCTCGAAGAATTCACCTTGAAAACCAGCATAAGACAAAAATGGCCTCTCTCACCATTCTATTCAACTAGTCTCTTGACTGATTAGTCAAGAGAAAAAAAAAAAAAAGCATAGAAATAGAAAATCAAACAGGGATAGTTTGACTTTCTCTCTTCCTATTTGTAAGAGAGGAAGAGAGAAAGTCAAACTATCCCTGTTTTCAGATAATATGATTCTTTATCTAGAAAACCCCATAGGTTTTACCCAAAAGTTCCTTCAGCTAATAAACAATTTCAGCAAGTTTTAGGATACAGAATCAATGTACACAAATCACTAACATTTCTATACCCAACAACAGCCAAGCTGAGAGCCAAATCAGGAAAGCAATTTTATTCATATTGCAAAAAAAAAATAAAATACCTAGGAATATAGCTAATCAGAAAGGTGTAAGATTTGTACAATGAGGATTACAAAACACTGCTTGAAGAAATCAGAGATGACCCAAACAGATGGCAAAACATTCCATGCTTATGAATAAAAAAATGAGTAATATTAAAATGGGCATACTGCCCAAAGCAATTTACAGATCCAGTAATATTCCAATCAAACTACCAGTGTCATCTGTCACAGAACTGTGGGGGATGCATAGCAACATATTCAAGCTTATGTCCAAGGCATTTGAGGTCAGGGCATGGAAAAATACTGAGGCACTGTGTGTGTGTTGTTTGTGCATGAGACTGTAACTCCTTAACCCTGAAAACAGGACAAGGAGTGGGGTGTGTGATAAGGAACACTGAAAACAGCCTCCTGAGAATGTCGTTTGATTGCTTTTACAATGTAATATGTGCCTCAGGACCTGGCTTCAAAAAGCAGTCTACTGGATGTTTGTGGTTTAACAAGCTCTTTCAATAAATACATGGTGGAGGGGTCTTGGAGCAGTACTCTCTCAGAAGAGTTGCTCCCCGCCCTGCTCAGCTGGAATTGTCTGAGTACTCATTCTCGGCACTCACTGCAAGCTATCAGCTGCAAGAACTAGAAACAACTTTTTAAAAATTCATATGGAACCAGAAAGCCTGAATAGCTGAGGTAATCCTAAGCCAAAAGAACAAAGCTAGAGGCATTACCTGACCTCAAACTATATACAGAACTATGGTAACCAAAACAGCATGGTACTAGCAGAATAACAGACACATAGACCAATGGAACGAACAGAAAGCCCAGAAATAAGGTCACATCTACAAACACCTGATCTTCAACAAAGCTGACAAAAACAAGCTATGGATAAGGACTTCCTATTCAATAAATAGTGCTGTGATAACTGGCTAGTTATATGCAGAAGATTGAAAGTGGACCCCTTTTTTATATCATACACAAAAATCAACTCAAAATGTATTAAATAATTAAATGTAAAACCCAAAACTATAAAAATTCTGGAAGACAACCTAGGGAATGCCATTCTGGATGTGGGAACAGGCAAATATTTTATGGCAAGGATGCCAAACGCAATTGCAATAAAAGCAAAAATTGACAAACAGGATCTAATTAAACTTAAGAGCTTCTATACAGCTTCTATTAAAAAAAATTGACAGAATAAACAGCCAACCTACAGAATGAGAGAAAATATTTGCAAAGTATGATCTGAAAAAGGTCTAATAGCCAGCATCTATAAGGAGCTTAAACAAATATACAAGAAAAAAAAAAAGACAACCCCATTGAGAAATGGGCAAAAGATATGAACACTTTTCAAAAGAAGACATACATGCAACCAACAGGCATATGGGAAAAAATCTCAGTATCACTGATTATTAGAGAAATGCAAATATAACCACAATGAGATACCATCTCACACCACTCAGAATGGCTATTATTAAAAAGGAAAAGAAAAATAACAGATGCTTCAAGATTGTGGAAAAAAGGAAATCCTTATACACTGTTTGTAAGAGTGGAAATTAGTTAAACCATTGTGGAAAGCTGTGTGGTGATTCCTAAAAGAGCTAAAAGCAGAACTACCATTTAACCCACCAATCCCATTAATTGGTATACACCCAAAGGAATATAAATCATTCTACCACAAAGACACATGCACTCATATGTTCATTGCAGCCCAATTCACAATAGCAAAGACATGGAATCAGCCTAAATGCCCGTCATTCACAGATTGGATAAAGAAAATGTGGTGTGTATACACTGTGGAATACTATGCAGCCATAAAAAACAATAAGACCAATTAACTTATGTAGTTTTGAAAGCTGAGGAGTCCCCCGATCTGCAGTTGGTAAGCTGGAGACCCAGGAGAGCCAATCATGTAGTTCCAGTCTGAGAGCTGGAAGACACAGGAAGAGCTGATGTTTCAGTTTTAGTCTGAAGATAGAAGAATAACTTACATCTCAATTCAAGATAATAAAGCAAGACGGTTCCCTGTTACCCTTGGGAGGGTCAAACTCTTTATTCTATTGAGGCTGTCAACTAATTGAATGAGACCTATCCACATTACAGAAGGCAATCAGTTGTCTTCAGTCTAGCAATTCGAATGTTGACCTCATCTAAAACACCCCCTCACAGGTGTAGTCAGAAAACTATTTGACAAAGTATCTGGGCACCTATGGCCCAATCAGTTGACACATAAAAATAACCATCACAGTTGTGCATCTAATAACAGAATTTAAAACTTTACAAAGCAAAATACAATAATATTAAGTTTAAAATATACATATTCATAATTATAATTGAGGTTTTATTACCCTCTTGTCAGTATTTGGTATAATAAATAGACAGAAAACTTCAGTATAATCATCCAGTTAATTTCTTTTGGTAATGCACTTTTCAATTCTAGATCTTCCATTTGGTTCTTTTTTATAGTTTTCATTTCTCTGCTGAGATCCTCTATCTATTTTCTCATATGTCCATCCTTTTCTTGGACATAATTTCAATAGCTATTTTAAAGTTGTTGTCTACTAATTTAATCATCTGAATCACCTCTGTGACTGTTTCAATTGACAACTTTATGTCTTGATATAGGTCACATTTTTCTTCTTCCTTGCATTTCTAATGTATATTTTTCTTTTTCTTTTTCTTTTTTTTTTTTTTTTTTTTAGATGGAGTTTTGCTCTTGTTACCCAGCCTGGAGTGCAATGGCGTGATATCGGCTCACGGCAACCTCCGCCTCCTGGGTTCAGGCAATTCTCCTGCCTCAGCCTCCTGAGTAGCTGGGATTACAGGCATGCACCACCATGCCCAGCTAATTTTTTGTATTTTTAGTAGAGACAGGGTTTCACCATGTTGACCAGGATGGTCTCGATCTCTTGACCTTGTGATCCACCCTCCTCGGCCTCCCAAAGTGCTGGGATTACAGGCTGAGCCACCGCACCCGGCCATCTAATGTATATTTTTAATTGGATGCTGGACCTCTTGAACATATGATCCAGGATGATGTTCCAAAATGGCATTTTCTATATGAGAATCATAAAGTTTCAGATATTTGCTCAAACTCTCATAACAAAGATGCCTCACATACCAGCTTCACACTCAGATCTTTTGATCTTTTCACCAAAGTAGTGCCCCTTAAGGATATGATTGTGCTGGCTAATCTGTTAACATACGCCCTATATTGTGACTGGAAGAACAAACACTGATAACATATATGTTTCCAAGTGGTTGTAATAATTAAGTGACTTTCTACGTCAATATTTCTTTCAGTAGGTCCTCTAGACAAAGGGAGAAAGATCGTAAAAGGCTAAGAAGTTGGGAGAGATGTCAGTATGAGAAGGATCTTTCCAAAGAGAGCAGAAAAAAGGCCAATTCGAAGAGACCTAGTTTTCCAGGAACTTGAATTCCTGTCTCGTATTTCTACTGACACTTAATAAAACTTCAGGCACTTAATTCTCTTTATTTTGCACCCCAATTCCCTTAGTTATAAAAATTTGGCTTAATAATACTGACCTCATAGGATTATTTTAAAGATGAAATAAGATTAATTGCATCATAATTTGGGGTTTATGGTAAATACTTGATAAAAATTTGTTGAATTCTAATATAAGACTGTTGCTAAGGATATTGAAAACAAAGTACTCAGACTTTGAGTTTAAATAAAAGGATTCTCTGATAGCTTGTGATATGGTATGTTTTTGAGTCTTACTTTTCTCATTTATAAAATAGGGATAACATCAACTATCACATGGGGAAATAGAACAGATTAACTGAAATGATAACATAAAATGACCATCCCAGTGCCTGCTATGAAACTTCCATACAATTAATATGAAAATTTTTTTCTTCACATTAACTTTTATGTGCTCTTATACAGATGCATTATGTTCTCATTTTCTGAAGGTTTAGGGCAAAAAAGTAAAAAAGCTCACAGTTTCATTTAATTCACCCTCCCCTACATTCCTTACTACTGTTCCCTCCCTCCCAGCAATTTTCCTTTCTCTATTTTCTTTCTGCTTTAAGCTCAAGTGGATTAACTACTTCTGAGTATTAGAGACTGAGTTGAATCCTCCCAAAGAAATCTCATCACAGATGGTTGGGAGCCACGCTGATTAGAATGCCAACTGTTCCAGCACTAGGACACGTTTAGAGGTGAGAAAGATAAAAATATTTCTTTCTTAAGCTAAAGATTTCCCAGAAGGAATAGAAAAAGAGTCTAAATCAAGGTTGGAAAATGAATACATTATCTATTTGATGTTTACCCATTGGCAGGTCTTATAAGTTAAGAAGAAAGTAATATCTTTGAGGAGGTTCACATTTAAAATCAGTTATGAACAAAATCTGATGGCATTGAGTGTTTGGGTTAGATAAGCTCCCCAAAGCCTAATTCTCAAAGTCAAAGATTTTTTTTTTTTTTAGGCGGAGTTTCCCTCTTGATACCCAGGCTGGAGTGCAATGGCGCGATCTCGGCTCACGGCAACCTCCGCCTCCTGGGTTCAGGCAATTCTCCTGCCTCAGCCTCCTGAGTAGCCGGGATTACAGGCACGCGCCACCACGCCCAGCTAATTTTTTTGTATTTTTAGTAGAGATGTGGTTTCACCATGTTGACCAGGATGGTCTTGATCTCTTGACCTTGTGATCCACCCGCCTCGGCCTCCCAAAGTGCTGGGATTACAGGCTTGAGCCACCGCGCCGGCCCCAAAGATTTTATATATCCATTAGTTTTTTTTCGACCATTCTACCAAAGGGATAAAAGGTGTGCTGGATTAATGTTTTGAACAGCTGCTTATTAACTTTGCAACCTTGGGCAAGTCACACAAACTTCGTGGAATCCTCCTCTTAGGAACCAAGGATGTAAACCAAGAGTTAATAGCACTCGTGAGCACCTCTCCTTTCCTAACCCGATTGTTCCTTTCCTGTTTCAGCTCCTCAGTAGGGCGTTTCCAGGCAATTTCAATAACCATCCCGCCTCTAGTGTTGCCCTTCTGGTCGATCTTCTGCACAGCTTCTGGAATTATTTTTTGTAAAATGAAAATGTGATATTTCTAAAGTATCTCCAATCTTTGGCTATAGCAGAGATCTTAAACTGCCCACTCTTCTGCCAAAACCATTATTAAAGGCATCATATGGTATTTTTTAAAAAATGATTGTATTAGTTGGCATGGCAGATATATTGAGTGCTTATTAAACACCCGTGTGTGCCATCATACTTCTTAGTCCCCCTTAAAGTTAGATTAAGGGCAAGTAACTCATTCCAGACAGTAGGTACCTGGGTCAATGCTGTTAAGAGGCAATGTACTTCTTCAACCTTGGTTCAATAACCCTGAAGACCCTTGGTCCCTGCTGACATAGGTACAACATGGAAGAGAGCTGTTCTGCCCATCTGGGCTTTGTGTGAGTGAAAAATAAATCTTTTTAATGGTACGCCATTGAGCATTAGAGTTGTTGTTGTTGTTATCATAACACAGCATAAAGTAGCCTGACTAATAAAATTGCCAACAGTTTTCACATAAAAATCTTGATTCCTAGCTTTATTTTCAAAACTAGAAAATCTCGGCAACCATCTGCTGTACCACCTGCACCTTCTGCCCAGCTCAGGCATGTGCTCTTCCATCTACCATCATCTTTCCCCCTCCTCTTCTCTTATTTTTGAGAATTTGACTGAGTGAGCTATGTATTTGAGTTTGTGATCCTTGGTCTGCAGAAGACAATCCAGACCTCCTAATGTGATAAATAAGCCCTTCCTTATTTGGGCTGCTTTATCCCTGCAGTATTATAATTTAGCACCAAATGCATAAACAAAATTGCACAATCGACAATTGCTACACAGTTTCACTGCATTCCCTGCCTCTGTTATTTTAGGCACTTTGGCATCTGCCTCTAGAACCCTTGCTGAATCATTTGATGGACTCTTCTTCATTTTCAGTATCCATCTTCTGTTTTACTTTTTTGGGAATTCTTTCTAATGTCATTCTTACACGTCTCCCAACCAGAAAGCCTCTTCCATTATAGCACTCAATGCTTTGTTCTTTCGTTCATCTTCTAATTCCCAGCCCAAGTGCAGTGCTGGCTACAGAAGAGAAACAGTTCATGCCAATGGGGCAACTGCTGAATTGTGGAATTTCTTTTACAGATTTCAGAGCAGAGCATGCACATGGTAATGGTTCAAACAGCACAGTAAAGCTCATGGTGGAAGTGAATATTTCTCTCTCCTCACTCTTAATGCCACTATGCACAAACAGCCTTTCTTCCATTCTGTTTCTGCCTTTATTTATTCTGTTTTTGGCCTCCATGACTCTGTTTACTACACTTGAAACTATATTTTTTGATTTACCGTTTTTCTCCCTTCTCATTCCATCCTTTTCCCAGCATTTGCTAGTACTATCGTTGTGCTTTAAGTTTTGTCGGTTCTCTTTGTAACTCTAATAATAAGCTTAAACTCTTTTTCTACTGTTTGATAGTGTCTGTTAAATTTAGCTTCTCTCCTCCATTTCCCCTCCCCTCCACTTCCACAGCTTCATTCTGTAGGCAACACTTTATGCTGTCAAGGATGTTGAAATTTATATTATAGTCTTCACCCTACTCATCTGTGATTTATTTATTCATTCAAATTCAATTCCTTTGTTCTCACTTCAAAACAAGATGCTCCTTCCCCAAACACTCTTATCTCTGTTTCCCCACCCCCACGTTGCACCTCCTTCTCAGCCAACCTATGTCTGTCCTGTCTTTCAAAGCTGAAGAAAAACCCACCTCTGCTGGGAAGGCTTCCAGCCAAATAGTTCTCTCCTTCCCTTCAAGTCTCTTTTCTCAGCTGATTGCTAAATCATCATGAAGGCAGGGCAGCTGAGAGCTGAGTCAGGGACTGTCCCAGGCACTGTGTGTAGCAAGAAATATAGTTTTGTAAGCTAAGTAAATTAAGAGTCACTATCTTTCTTTGTAGACACAGATGAGACTTAATAGTCTGAATTAGTAAATGCAGAAGGAGACCTGTCTTCTAGCCAAGCCTATCATTTTTATAATAATATGTTGTTTTTAAAGCGTGATCCTATAGTCTTTGCAATTCTGAGATGCTGGGCTCTCTGAGGAAGCAGCCACTGGGAGGGTGGAATGGGAAAGTAGAAGGACCTTGATTCTGTACTGGAAGGTTGGAGTCTTGGGTTTCTAATCCAGAACTACCAAGTGTTGTCTGGACTACCTCAAGCTAATGGGCTTAGTCTCTCTCTGAACTTTTCCAATAATTTAAGTTTGGGTGAAATTGTATCCCAGATCACTTCCAATCCTAACAGACAATGCTATCATTCTCCTGGCAAAGATGCTTCTTTCGGCCGGGCGCAGTGGCTCACGTCTGTAATCCCAGCACTTTGGGAGGCTGAGGCGGGTGGAACATGAGGTCAAGAGATCAAGACCATCCTGGTCAACATGGTGAAACCCCGTCTCTACTAAAAATACAAAAAAATTAGCTGGGCATGGTGGTGCATACCTGTGATCCCAGCTACTCGGGAGGCTGAGGCAGGAGAATTGCCTGAACCCAGGAGGCGGAGGTTGCGGTGAGCCGAGATGTCACCATTGCACTCCAGCCTGGGTAACAAGAGCGAAACTCCGTCTCAAAAAAAAAAAAAAAAAAAAAAAGATGCTTCTTTCTCATTTCTGTTGTCAGAGTCATCTATGCTATCTATAGCTGAAGGGACTCTTTGGTGGTTTTCTTAATGAGCATACATTGTTTGACTTACCTAACATTTATTCTCCCTCCTTTTAGTAATTAACTCTGATTTTCTATGAAAACATACTTTGACTGACTGCACAGGTGACATTGGTGAGGCTGATCACAACATCCCGCTCTGGGCTGAGCATGGACCTCAGCTCAGCTAACTGGTATATTGCAACTCCCTGGCCACATGATTCCATTTAACATGGGCAAGGACCAATCATAGTAACTCACACCATTTCTCCGGTGCTCTTGGGAAAATGCCTCTTGGAATGGAACAAATACTGAGACTACAGAGCTGAGAGATGGATTATACATCATGTCCTCATGTTATCTGTCTTAATTTGAGTTCTCTTGGAAGCAGAGCCTAAGATAAGAGCTTGGATATAGGTGTTTTGTTTAAGAGGTGTTCCAGAAAGAAGGGGTGAGAAAGTAGGGAATGTAAGAAAGAGAAAAAAAGGGAAAGCCAATGTAAGTGTGCATTGTTATGTTTCAGCAAAATAATCTAAAGGACACATTGTTAAACCCCCACCACTAGGCTTATCCAGTGAAGCAGGGGAGGCTGGAACATTGATCCATGGATCCCACCTTGGATTTGTTGTAGTTTTCCATTCTTCTGAGCTTCCTTGTTTTCAGTCTATGAAAGCCCCTGCAGCATCACAAAAGGCACTGGGTCAGAGAATGAGTAGAATCATGATACACAATTGATGTGTAATATTGTCAGTGCGATATGAGGCTGAGCTCCCCTATATGCTGAGAGCAATAGGGAACATACATCCTCTGCAAGCACACTCCTTCACAAGAGGTGAGGATGAGGCCAGCCTAAATGTACCTGACTTCTCCCGTCAGTCATGTCAAATCACACTTTGTCCCTGCGGGAACTGGGTATGGGCATGGAGAAAAAAGTAAGCATTTTGCTAATAGGCTTCCTTCCATGTAGAAGCATCATCAGCAGTGGAGGAACAACATCCCAAAGACTGTGAAAACATGCATGCAAAGCTCTTAGCTCACCAGTAAGGGATCAATGCATGGGCAATGTTATACATCTACAGAATGCATTCATGAAATTAACTCAAAGATATGCTTATATAGTACCTTGGACCCTGTACATTTCTCTCTCCTTGAAATCCTTTGTTTGTGTATCTACCTCTCCCACTAATATGCTTACCTCTTGGGGATAGCAACTGCGCCTTTAATGTATTTATCACAAGGTAACCAGCACTGTCTTGCCCAGAGTATATTCTCAAAAAACATTTGGACTATTTTGGATAAATATAAACCATAGGGCTACAATGCTGTGAAGAATTGAGGGACGACCAGTTGTCTCTATCATGAAACAGTTCAGACTCTGGAGCAAGAGATGGATTTATGTGACAATCAAGCAGGGTGTCACGAAAAGAGAAATAATCTTGTCTGGAGTTGGTGGTGTCAGAGAAAGTATAAAAGT